GTTGCGTGCAGTTTAGATCCATTGCAGGCTACCCTGACCCGAAGCCTTGAGGCTTCAGATTTCTGCAAATCCTAACCCCCATCCTAACACCATGTATGAACCCTGAACTCCCATATAACCCCTCAACCTGAAAAGCCAAACCCCAAACCCTAAACCCAAATCCTGGAAATCCTCAACCTAAAGCCCCAAACCTTGAAATCCGACTGCGCGAGCGCTGATGCTGGGAGCCGGCTGCCGAGCTAGGCGAGTTAGGACTGGAGTGGGACTTCCCGTGCAGTCGTAAACGTCTGTGGGAAAAACAAACCTTGAAATCCTAAATCCAAAGGCTCAACCCTCGATGCACATACCTAAGCCCTCGGCCAGAATCCGTGAGGAAGCCGAACAGCTTCGCTCGGAGCTTCGCCTGCGCACCGCTGGTGGGGCATGGGAGCGGGAAGGGTGCAAGGTTGGAGGTTCAGGAGTTAGGATTTAGGGTTTAGGATTTAGAGTTTAGGGTTTAGCGTGTAGGGTTTAGGGTTCAGGTTTTGGGGTTTAGGGTTTAGGATTTAAGTTTGGTCGGGATTTGGCCGTGCCACTTATTGTGAGGAACCCGTGGTGAGTACGACGCTCTTATCGCACGTTGCTGCTTCATGGAAACTGGGGAGGGCCACAAACCCTCGACGATGAACCAGAACAGATTTCAAGCGGAATAAGATGGACAGGGAGAACCTGAATACTGACGAACACAATCCCAAACCATGCTCCAATGCCTTTTTCCGTTTTGCAAGTTTTACGTTCGGAAATCTGTATTGACAAGCTTTCCAGTGCCAGGGCAGCAGGATCATGCCCGAGCGGAAGAGGTCGCTCGCGAATTGGGGGACTACGGTTGGGTTGGAATTGCCCGAAGGGTTCACGGATTTTTGCGGCAAGGATACAAAAAAGTGTGAAGAAGTTCAAGATTGAGGGAGGGCTTCACGTCCAGGGTTGTTCGTGGCCATGTGCGAGTTCCAAAGCTTTGACCTGGGAGCTTGCCCTTATCCATTTTCATCCCACCAGCAGCCCTCTGCTCAACAGCAGCCCTCTGCTGTCAGCGCGTGCGCCAAGCAACCCAGTTGACCTCAAGATAACCGAAAAAAAAAAATCATTCAGCCATATGGTGTACTGAGATGTGCAAGTGTTTCGTTGGCACATCGGCCTGTAGAATCTGTAGACCAACTGTGCCTTTTGGCTGCCATAGCTGCCGGCATCTAGCTATTGCCCGGGTATTTTTCTTGATGAGCTTGACCGGGCAATGTGCAGGATGGAGGTAGTTTACAAGGAGTGCAAGAACTTGGGCACAAGTGTTGCCGCGCAAAACAGCTCCACAATCATCCATTAGTCCATGAGAACCTGATGTCAGGTGTCCCGGCTGAAGACGGAGCTGACCCGTGCAAAGGCGCAGCTGTGTCATAAGAGCCAAGAGTCACGTGTCAGTAGTTTATATAACCCATTAGATTAGTTTTCAAAACCCATTGCAGTAGTTTATATAACCCATTTTGAAGCAGGAGGAAGAACAGTGGACATTGTGTTCTTGTATTTCATCGAGCTAGACCTGCAATTGTAGTAGCCGCACCGCCTTCCTTTGTGTTATTCTTAGCGTTTGAAGTCACTTGGAACTTGTTCTTTGAATCTTGAATGCGAAGCTCTGTAATACACCAAGGCACGGGGCCCCAAATCCTATAAACAGGAGGGCATTCGCGAATGCTCGCATGAGAGTAGTAGGTCCCGTGGTCGTGGTAGCAGCAGCCGCAGAACTGTTGCGGCACGGGGCGCCAGTTCCCCTAAGTTTTCAACCTCTTGAAGTGCGTCCGCAATCAAGTTGGGTGTCCAAATACAAGCAGAAGTGAGCAGCAAACCTCAAATGGCTGACCCCGGTGTAATGGCAGTAGGACACTTGCATCCCGCAGGGCCTGGGTTGATTGCCACACGCATGTCAGGTGTGGCCCAAGAAGTAAGCACAATGAATTCAAGTTCCGTAAGGTCATGTAGAGCACCAACCTACTACAGCTGTGTTGAGTCGATAGCAAGAGCATCGGCCACCATCAGAGGAAAAACACTTATGCCATAACCGTCAAAAGACGTACACAGGAATCAAGTGACATGCCTCTATGCCAAAGAGCTGCTGTTGTGGGCAAAGTTAAAGGCCACAAACGTGAAATGTCCTGACATTGGTACAGTATACGTCACGCTGACACGAGGCAGAAGTCAAGAGCCTCAAAGACGAGCTGAAGCAGAGAGAGCTGAGACCTAAGCGTGCTTTCATTGTGGCGTAGGCACGAGGGCTTCTGATTACAATTGGTAGTAGCAGCAGTAGCAGTAGCAGTAGCAGTAGCAGTGTTAGTCGTGGTGGTGGTGGTGGTGGTGGTGGTGGTGGTGGTGGTGGTGGTGGTGGTGGCACTACCAGCAGCAGGATCTTCCCTCAGACCTTTTGGCTGGGCTTGCGGAAAAAGCACAAGCATGGATATTATGAATCAACGGAATTCCTACATAATGGGATGCCTCAAAAAAAAAGCATTTCAACAGAATTCTTAAGAAGACTTCATAACCCCGGCCCCCCCCCCCAGCTCCTCTACATTCCTATAAAATTGTGTAGAGCAACCCCTTCTTGAAAATCTTCCTCTTTTGCAAGGCTGGCTCAAAAGCGCTCTCGAGAAAAGGAGGCTGCTGAGTTGAGAGCCGAACGGCAAAAGGCCTTCTGTTTCTTGGGGTCTAGGATTAGGATTTAGGGTTTAGGGTATAGGATATAGGGCGGCATTAGAGCCTAAGAGAAGGATGAGGGCATCAGGGATTTGTTTTTGGATCAGGTTTTTGATTGAGAGTTGGAGAGAGTCTTCCCGCCCGAACGTTCAAAGCAGTGTTCCCTGCTCGTATGCTAGTTGGTCCCAATACTTTTGGATTATGGTACTTGGGGGGGATGAGCCGTGGTCTTGCTGAGGGGCCTGATCTTGGGAGTTCTGCTCAAATTAAAATTGGAAAACGCGTCAAGGCCGAGAAGCAAGGAGGGCGTTCTGTGACACTTTCTTGGGTAATGGCTCTTCAATGGACCAGCACGTCCTATAGTGTGCCGAGCTGCCGTTGTGGACAATTTGGGTGTGGCAGATCTGTGTGGTGACCTAGCGCTGAACATGAGCCTTACTTTTCTGGCAGTATGGGCTTCTGAGAAAGGGGGCCCTGTTCGGTGTGTATCCGGGAAGCCACCTGAAAGATGCATCCCAGAGATTGATTGATTGGTCATTTTTTGAAGGGAGCCACTTTGTGGATCCAATCTGGCACTTGGAGCGTCTGCAGAACTTGGAAAGTCGAGTCATAGTTTTTTCCACGATGAATCCACAATACCATCTCCCCCATCATCATCATCATCGTCAACAAGCATCTGGGCTCTCAGCTGGGGCCCCTGGGTTATGCAGTTCTTGGGCTTTACATGTGACTAATCTCTCCAAG